TTTAGCTGTAAATATAAAAATCGTTTTTTATTTCAGGGTAATGCGTATTACTTCTAAAAAAAAATATTTTTATTTACATTCGCGGTTTGCATACGACAACAAGTACAAGAAATTGTTCTCGATTCATAATTTTTAAACAATACGTCTTAACACCATTTTTAGCCAAAAGTGTGTATTTCATCATTTATTTTCATCTAAATTTAGAACAATCAAGTATTATCATTCATACTCTAATATTTACATCAGTGATTGGCTGCTATAAGCAGCAGGGAGCGAAGGCAATGAAATTTCTATTTAGGGTACAATAAGATATTCCAAAAATCCAGGAAAATATTTTTGAGTAATAAACAAAGTCGTGTCAAAAAGGTTTTTTTTTTGCTCTTTGAGCCTTACACTGATTTCCTTACACTGTTTTTATATTGTTTTGCTTGTTTCTTTTTAATATTATTATACAAAATAATACTCAATAAGAGATCTGTTTGTTTTGGTTACAAGATATTTATTAAATATTACAAAATTTGTGTTTTTTCCACCGAATACACACTTGCTGTTTTTTTGGCAGTATGCGTGTGCCTGTGTATGTGAATATTTGGAGACGTTTGTTGTTTTTGTATGACCCAAATACACCCACATCTTTTTTTTTTTTCTTTTTGGTTCGGAACTTAATTTGTACTTGTGTCATATTCCAGCAAAGTTAAATTAATTTTCTTTTTTCAATTCTTTTGTTTTACTTTTGTGAAATGGAAAACAAATATAATTTACTCTTCTTTAATTTTCCATGAATCAGAAACGGTAAATGATTTTCCTTTATTTAAAAAAATATAGCTATGAAATTGAAGGCTTTAAAAAAGATGTGTTATTTTAGCAAAATAATTATTAATAACATTAAAGTCAACATTTGTAAAGAAATCGTATTAGAACTGATTGTAATCCCTAGTTCCTAGAATAGACTATAGTTTTGAACATAGATAGAACTATATATAGTCTTGACTACAGATTAGTCCTAACTATAGTATTGACTATACACTGAACTATTATTGTCTTATATGTATATTGACTGGTCAATAGTTTTCAGTAGGCTACACTATAGTCTTGACTATAGACCAGACTATAGTCTTGACTATAGACCATACTATAGTGTTTACTATAGACTGAACTATTGTCTTGTCTATTGACTGGTCAATAGAATGTCTTGACTATAGTCCAGACTATAGTGTTGACTATAGACCTTACTATAGTCTTGACTATAGACCTTACTATAGTCTTGACTATAGACCAGACTATAGTCTTGACTATAGTGTAGCCTACTGAAAACTAATAGATCAGACTTTAGTCTTGACTATAGACCGGACTATAGACCAGACTATACTCTAGACTATAGACCAGTCTATAGTCTAGACTATAGACCAGACTATAGTCTAGACTATAGACCAGACTATAGTCTTGACTATAGACCAGATTATAGTCTTGACTATAGACCAGACTATAGTGTTGACTATAGACCAGACTATATTGTTGACTATAGATTAGACTATAGTCTTGACTATAGACCAGACTATAGTCTTGATAATAGACCAGACTGTAGTCTTGATAATAGATCAGACTTTAGTCTTGACTATAGATCAGACTTTAGTCTTGACTATAGACCAGACTATAGTCTTGACTATAGACCAGACTATAGTCTAGACTATAGACCAGACTATAGTCTTGACTATAGACCAGACTATAGTCTTGACTATAGTCCAGACTATAGTCTTGACTATAGACCAGATTATAGTCTTGACTATAGACCAGATTATAGTCTTGACTATAGACCAAACTCGACTTTAATCTTTACTATTGACTAGTCTATAATTTTGACTATAGACTAGACTATAGTCTTCACTGTAGACTAGGCTATAGTCTTGACTACAGAATTGAGGAAAATCTATTTTAGATATTCACACCTTTTATCGGCGCACTCTGTACCTTTTTATGTTAATTTTCCACTTTAGTACATGACAAAATAAAAAAGATCCTTTTATGTAAACAGCTTACAGCAAAAGGATTGAGGGGTTTTACCTCCTACACAACAGATTTTAAAATGTTTAATATATAACCGCTTAAAGTGGGTGGCTATACCAGCAGCCACATTTCATTTATATTTACAAATACATCTACTCGTTAACAACCTTGTAATAGTTTAGTTTTTACATCATTTTTTTCTCATATATTTATTCATTCTTAGTTTTACAACCAGGTCATATGTGTTTTTTCTTCATAATGACATTTCCACCTTCGTCATAAGCGTAGAATGAATAGATTTCCGTTCATAATAATGTAAAAATGACATTCAGCACGTGGTGCTTTTTAAAAGATTTCTTTCTTTTTTACATTTTATCTTATTTCTTATTAAGTTTTTTTATTTTTTTGCTAAAAAAAGTATTATTAAGAGCCTTTACTAGATATCTGTGTACTTTGAGACAACATTGTGGACATCTTTTATTTACGTATTCATTTAAAACAAATATGCTAATCATATCATGATAATTAATACATACTCTAATCTTATCTTTAATATTCGTTCATATATGCTGAAATGCGTAAGAGGTTTTTTTTTATAAATTAATAAACGTTACAAATAATTTACTACTTTCAACAAATTGAAATTTTTTGCAAAATTTTATTTTTTTCAAATGTTTTTCAGAGAAAAAGAGAAATATAAACTAGACTCTAAGCTTGTCTTTAGATTGGACTATAATCCTGACTATATACTGAATTGCAGTCTTAACTATAGACTGAATTGCAGTCTTAACTATACACTTGATTATAGTCTGAACTAGATTAGGTACTATAGACTAGACTATAGACTAGACTATAGACTAGACTATAGACTAGACTATAGACTAGACTATAGACTAGACTATAGACTAGACTATAGACTACACTATAGACTAGACTATAGACTAGACTATAGACTAGACTATAGACTACACTATAGACACTATAGACTAGACTATAGACTAGACTATAGACTAGACTATAGACTAGACTATAGACTAGACTATAGACTAGACTATAGACTAGACTATAGACTAGACTATAGACTAGACTATAGACTAGACTATAGACTAGACTATAGACTAGACTATAGACTAGACTATAGACTAGACTATAGACTAGACTATAGACTAGACTATAGACTAGACTATAGACTAGACTATAGACTAGACTATAGACTAGACTATAGACTAGACTATAGACTAGACTATAGACTAGACTATAGACTAGACTATAGACTAGACTATAGACTAGACTATAGACTAGACTATAGACTAGACTATAGACTAGACTATAGACTAGACTATAGACTAGACTATAGACTAGACTATAGACTACACTATAGACTACACTATAGACTAGACTATAGACTAGACTATAGACTAGACTATAGACTAGACTATAGACTACACTATAGACTAGACTATAGACTAATCTATAGACTAGACTATAGGCTAGACTATAGACTAGAGTATAGACTAGACTATAGACTAGAGTATAGACTAGACTATAGACTAGACTATAGACTACACTAGACTAGACTATAGACTAGACTATAAGACTAGACTATAGACTAGACTAAGACTAGACTAGACTATAGACTATAGACTAGACTAGACTAGAGACTAGACTATAGACTAGACTATAGACTAGACTATAGACTAGACTATAGACTAGACTATAGACTAGACTATAGACTAGACTATAGACTAGACTATAGACTAGACTATAGACTAGACTATAGACTAGACTATAGACTAGACTATAGACTAGACTATAGACTAGACTATAGACTAGACTATAGACTAGACTATAGACTAGACTATAGACTGGACTATAGACTAGACTATAGACTAGACTATAGACTGGACTATAGACTGACTATAGACTGGACTATAGACTAGACTATAGACTGGACTATAGACTAGACTATAGACTATAGACTAGACTATAGACTAGACTATAGACTAGACTATAGACTAGACTATAGACTAGACTATAGACTAAACTATAGACTGTAGACTGAACTATATACTAGATTAGACTTGGTTATTGACATTACAATAGCCGTGACTAGTTGTTTACCGGTAAGGTAAACAGTAGTTTAATATTAACCTTAAAGATAAGCTAAAATAGTTTATAGTTGATTTATGTATGGGGGAAATTTTTGATTTAAATCTTATCAGAAACTCTATTTTAACAAGGGAAACACACTTCACTTTAAGAGTTTAGGCCACTTTAGTTTAATTATAAATAGTTTATTAACCAACAATTATGAAAGTTTTAAAAGTAACAATAATGTCTTTTTGCCAATTTTCATTCAAAATTTGTTCTATTTCTCCCGAAAAAGAATCGCTGAGACAATTTTAGTCAATTTGATATTCAACTATTTGCAGCCTGTACTAAATTGTATTAGTATTTTCTATGACTGTCTGTCGGAAATATACATACATGTCTGTGTATATGTATGTATATTTATTTAACAATTTATTATTTGTTTTTATATTTAGCACAGCAGAAACTACAGAAAACTACACACATTTCTAATTCTTAACAGAAAAAAGCCAGTGTTTTTTGTTAAAATAGTACAAAATAGAATTAAAACTAATAATAATAAAAAAAGAGATAAAAGCAAATTTTGTACCAAAAAACGAATGCCAAAATGTCATTATTATTGCTTTATTAAATAAAAATTTAAACAAACTTTCTTTGCTAAAGATTCAAATTAATTTATTATTCTCGTTTTTTTTTATTAAACTTTTTGCAGATTTTACAAAATTTGGGTAAAGTTGATCGGACTGCAGATGAATTTTTGATGATCATTTAAATAATTTCAATCGACAACAACAAAATGCCAATAGATTACAAAAAGAATTCAATATATATTAGATGTATAAGAGGTAAAAGTTTTCTTTATTATTTAATAAATTTATGTATAATTTTGCAAATTGTTTCTTTAGCTGCACAAACCGCATCCAAATCATTAATGGATGCCATAGCGGAAATCTATGAACCTCAATGGAGTGGTTATGATGCCTTACAAGCCCAAGCTCAATCTTCAGAATCATTATGGCAAGATTTTGCTCACAAATTGGCAGATCAAGTATTGATACCATTAAATACTTATACAGGACAATTTCCAGAAATGAAGGTTGGTAGTGTAAATGATTAATATTTTTAATAGTCTAGTCTACAGTGTGGTCTACAGTCTAGTCTATAGTCTACCCTATAGTCTTGTCTATAGTCTAGTCTATAGTGTATTCTATAGTATACTCTCTAGTCTATTGAATAGACTCTATTCTATAGTCTAGTCTATATTCTAGTTACAAATATAACTATAGCTTAGTCCATAGTCTTAGTTTAGTTGTAAGTCTAGTCTATAGTCTAGTCTATAGTCCAGTCTATAGTCTAGTCTATAGTCTAGTCTATAGTCTAGTCTATAGTCTAGTCTATAGTCTAGTCTATAGTCTAGTTTAGTCTAGTCTATAGTCTAGTCTATAGTCTAGTCTATAGTCTTCTATAGTCTAGTCTATAGTCTATAGTCTAGTCTATAGTCTAGTCTATAGTCTAGTCTATAGTCTAGTCTATAGTCTAGTCTATAGTCTAGTCTATAGTCTAGTCTATAGTCTAGTCTATAGTCTAGTCTATAGTCTAGTCTATAGTCTATAGTCTAGTCTATAGTCTAGTCTATAGTCTAGTCTATAGTCTAGTCTATAGTCTAGTCTATAGTCTAGTCTATAGTCTAGTCTATAGTCTAGTCTATAGTCTAGTCTATAGTCTAGTCTATAGTCTAGTCTATAGTCTAGTCTATAGTCTAGTCTATAGTCTAGTCTATAGTCTAGTCATTGTCTAGTCTATAGTCTAGTCTATAGTCTAGTCTATAGTCTAGTCTATAGTCTAGTCTATAGTCTAGTCTATAGTCTAGTCTATAGTCTAGTCTATAGTCTAGTCTATAGTCTAGTCTATAGTCTAGTCTAGTCTAGTCTAGTCTATAGTCTAGTCAATAGTCTAGTCTATAGTCTAGTCAATAGTCTAGTCTATAGTCTAGTCAATAGTCTAGTCTATAGTCTAGTCTATAGTCTAGTCAATAGTCTAGTCTATAGTCTAGTCTATAGTCTAGTCTATAGTCTAGTCTATAGTCTAGTCTATAGTCTAGTCTATAGTCTAGTCTATAGTCTAGTCTATAGTCTAGTCTATTGTCTAGTCTATAGTCTAGTCTATTGTCTAGTCTATAGTCTAGTCTATAGTCTAGTCTATAGTCTATAGTCTAGTCTATAGTCTAGGCTATAGTCTAGTCTATAGTCTAGTCTATAGTCTAGTCTATAGTCTAGTCTATTGTCTAGTCTATAGTCTAGTCTATAGTCTAGTCTATAGTCTAGTCTATTGTCTAGTCTATAGTCTAGTCTATTGTCTAGTCTATAGTCTAGTCTATAGTCTAGTCTATAGTCTAGTCTATAGTCTAGTCTATAGTCTAGTCTATAGTCTAGTCTATAGTCTAGTCTATAGTCTAGTCTATAGTCTAGTCTATAGTCTAGTCTATAGTCTAGTCTATAGTCTAGTCTATAGTCTAGTCTATAGTCTAGTCTATAGTCTAGTCTATAGTCTAGTCTATAGTCTAGTCTATAGTCTAGTCTATAGTCTAGTCTATAGTCTGGTCTATAGTCTAGTCTATAGTCTAGTCTATAGTCTAGTCTATAGTCTAGTCTATAGTCTAGTCTATAGTCTAGTCTATAGTCTAGTCTATAGTCTAGTCTATAGTCTAGTCTAGTCTATAGTCTAGTCTAGTCTATAGTCTAGTCTAGTCTAGTCTAGTCTAGTCTAGTCTAGTCTAGTCTATAGTCTAGTCTAGTCTATAGTCTATAGTCTATAGTCTATAGTCTATAGTCTATAGTCTAGTCTAGTCTAGTCTATAGTCTAGTCTAGTCTATAGTCTAGTCTATAGTCTAGTCTAGTCTAGTCTAGTCTATAGTCTAGTCTAGTCTATAGTCTAGTCTAGTCTATAGTCTAGTCTAGTCTATAGTCTAGTCTAGTCTAGTCTAGTCTAGTCTAGTCTAGTCTAGTCTAGTCTAGTCTAGTCTAGTCTATAGTCTAGTCTAGTCTATAGTCTAGTCTAGTCTATAGTCTAGTCTAGTCTATAGTCTAGTCTAGTCTATAGTCTAGTCTAGTCTATAGTCTAGTCTAGTCTATAGTCTAGTCTAGTCTAGTCTAGTCTATAGTCTAGTCTAGTCTATAGTCTAGTCTATAGTCTAGTCTAGTCTATAGTCTAGTCTAGTCTATAGTCTAGTCTATAGTCTAGTCTATAGTCTAGTCTAGTCTATAGTCTAGTCTATAGTCTAGTCTATAGTCTAGTCTATAGTCTAGTCTATAGTCTAGTCTATAGTCTAGTCTATAGTCTAATCTATAGTCTAGTCTATAGTCTAGTCTATAGTCTAGTCTATAGTCTAGTCTATAGTCTAGTCTATAGTCTAGTCTATAGTCTAGTCTATAGTCTAGTCTATAGTCTAGTCTATAGTCTAGTCTATAGTCTAGTCTATAGTCTAGTCTTTAGTCTAGTCTATAGTCTAGTCTAAGTCTAGTCTATAGTCTAGTCTATAGTCTAGTCTATAGTCTAGTCTATAGTCTAGTCTATAGTCTAGTCTATAGTCTAGTCTATAGTCTAGTCTATAGTCTAGTCTATAGTCTAGTCTATAGTCTAGTCTATAGTCTAGTCTATAGTCTAGTCTATAGTCTAGTCTATAGTCTAGTCTATAGTCTAGTCTATAGTCTAGTCTATAGTCTAGTCTATAGTCTAGTCTATAGTCTAGTCTATAGTCTAGTCTATAGTCTAGTCTATAGTCTAGTCTATAGTCTAGTCTATAGTCTAGTCTATAGTCTAGTCTATAGTCTAGTCTATAGTCTAGTCTATAGTCTAGTCTATAGTCTAGTCTATAGTCTAGTCTATAGTCTAGTCTATAGTCTAGTCTATAGTCTAGTCTATAGTCTAGTCTATAGTCTAGTCTATAGTCTAGTCTATAGTAGTCTATGTCTAGTCTATAGTCTAGTCTATAGTCTAGTCTATAGTCTAGTCTATAGTCTAGTCTATAGTCTAGTCTATAGTCTAGTCTATAGTCTAGTCTATAGTCTAGTCTATAGTCTAGTCTATAGTCTAGTCTATAGTCTAGTCTATAGTCTAGTCTATAGTCTAGTCTATAGTCTAATCTATAGTCTAGTCTAAGTCAGTCTAGTCTAGTCTAGTCTATAGTCTAGTCTATAGTCTAGTCTATAGTCTAGTCTATAGTCTAGTCTATAGTCTAGTCTATAGTCTAGTCTATAGTCTAGTCTATAGTCTAGTCTATAGTCTAGTCTATAGTCTAGTCTATAGTCTAGTCTATAGTCTAGTCTATAGTCTAGTCTATAGTCTAGTCTATAGTCTAGTCTATAGTCTAGTCTATAGTCTAGTCTATAGTCTAGTCTATAGTCTAGTCTATAGTCTAGTCTATAGTCTAGTCTTAGTCTAGTCTATAGTCTAGTCTATAGTCTAGTCTATAGTCTAGTCTATAGTCTAGTCTATAGTCTAGTCTATAGTCTAGTCTATTGTCTAGTCTATAGTCTAGTCTATAGTCTAGTATAGTCTAGTCTATAGTCTAGTCTATAGTCTAGTCTATAGTCTAGTCTATAGTCTAGTTTATGGTATAGTTAATAGTCTAGTCTATAGCCTAGTCTATAATCTAGTCTATAGTCTAGTTTATGGTCTAGTCTATGGTCTACTCTATAGTCTATAGTCTTATATAGAAATAGAATAGAAATTTCAATCATTTTTAATTTTCTTGCACATTTCAGAAAAAAGTTGAAAAACGCAATAGAAAACTGATCGATTACGATGGTCAACGTCATTCGTTCCAAAGTCTACAAGCCAATGCCAATAAACGTAAAGATGATGTTAAATTAACCAAAGGACGTGAACAATTGGAAGAAGCACGTCGTACATATGAACTATTGAATACGGAACTACACGATGAACTTCCAGCTCTATATGAGTCAAGAATATTGTTTTTGGTAACCAATTTACAAACTCTATTCGCAACAGAACAAGTTTTCCACAATGAAACAGCCAAGGTTAGTGAAAATGAAAGGATAAAAAAAAACTTTGTTAATTATTATGTATATTTAACAGATTTACTCGGAATTAGAGGCTATTGTTGATAAATTGGCAACAGAATCACAACGCGGCTCAAATACTCTTAGAAAAGCAACAGGTATTTCGAAAATTTGTTTATATCTTAAAAAAAAATTACATTTAAATTATTTTGTATTATTTTTTAATGTTAAAGTGAACGCCATTAAATCTGCCAGTCCTGTACAGTCACCAGTTAAACAAATGAATAATGCCAATATTACCAACAGCAACAATCAATATCAAAATACTAATGGTTCTGCTAATCGTAAGTAGCCCATAACTTGTCTTAACTTTTTTACATTTTTACCACAAAATTGTTACAACAAAATTCCTTTTTGTTTTTGTACGATTTGATTTGAAATTAACATTGTTTCTTTAGTTAAATTTAATATAATTTTGTTTTTGTAATATTTAAAATTTGATTTTGTTTTCTTTATATTTTTTCGCTTTTTTTTCTTTATTCCTTTTATTTATTTTTAAATTGCTCAAAACTGCTTAAATAGAAGATTCATAAATCTTTTAATTTAAAACATTCATATTGTTTTTATTTATTAATTTTTCGCTTTTTAAGTTTTATTTTACAGTTATAATTATTATTATAATAATATTACTATATATGCAATATTTTATTCAATCATTTAGTTAATATTTATTCACAAATAATAATCGCAACATAACGGTAATGATTTTTAAATTCTTGTATAAAATATTATTATTTTGTCGGTGATTTTAATTTAAAAAAATTGGTTGTCTTGATTAAGGGATAACGACAATTGATTGAATCAAATCAAAATGGAATCAATTATTTCAAAATTTTTCATTTTTTTTCAATTTGAATAGAAAATTTCCAATTTCGAATGCACCCAATGAAATTCTTAAATTTCAAAATGAAATTTCTTATTTCTAATAGCAATTTTGTAAAAATTTAAAAATATATAATAACATTACTTGCTGCTATCCCTTATATTCTATTCTATGTGTGTATCTCAAAAATCTTTTCTCTTTCTCCTATAAATTTTGTATATTTTTTTCTTTATTAGTTTTGGCAATTTAAAAATATTTATTCATATATTTCTTTAGTAGCTATAAACATACATATTAACCGATTTAAAATACATACCAAATGTCTAAAAAACCAAAAACAGATGTAGATAATAATTAATATTAGTACATACATACATACGTATATATGCATAAAAATACCTATAAATCATGTACGTAGCAGTAATAGTTGTATAAAAATAATAAATTTTTTTCATTTAAAGTTCATATCTTTTATAAAAAAAATTCTTATAAACTAATTTTGTGGTAGTTTATGGGTTTTTGTTTGGAGGCAAATAGAGGCAAATGTCTTTTGGGAAAATTAACAAAATTTAATATTAAAAAAAAGACTGCAACAGATTCCTTTTCTTCAAAGTTTTAAACTACAAAAGTTAGGGAAATTTTAAATGTCGACTATAGACTAGACTAAAGATAGATAATAGACTAGACTACAGACTATACTATAAACTAGACTATAGACTAGGCTATAGACTAGACTATTGATTAGACTATAGACTAGACTATAGACAAGACTATAGACAAGACTATTGACTAAACTATAGAATGGACTACATAATAAGCTATAGACTCAACTATAGACTTGACTATAGACTAGACTATAGACTATACTATAGACTAGACTACAGACTAGATAAACTAGGCTACAGACTAGACTATAGACTAGGCTAGACTAGACTATAGACTAGACTATAACTAGACTATAACTAGACTATAACTAGACTATAGACTAGATTGTAGACTAGACTTTCGACTAGACTATAGACTAGACTATAACTAGACTATAACTAGACTATTACTAGACTATAACTAGACTATAACTAGACTATAACTAGACTATAGACTAGATTGTAGACTAGACTTAGACTAGACTATAGACTATAGACTAGACTATAGACTAGACTATAGACTAGACTATAGACTAGACTATAGACTAGACTATAGACTAGACTATAGACTAGACTATAGACTAGACTATAGACTAGACTATAGACTAGACTATAGACTAGACTATAGACTAGACTATAGACTAGACTATAGACTAGACTATAGACTAGACTATAGACTAGACTATAGACTAGACTATAGACTAGACTATAGACTAGACTATAGACTAGACTATAGACTAGACTATAGACTAGACTATAGACTAGACTATAGACTAGACTATAGACTAGACTATAGACTAGACTATAGACTAGACTATAGACTAGACTATAGACTAGACTATAGACTAGACTATAGACTAGACTATAGACTAGACTATAGACTAGACTATAGACTAGACTATAGACTAGACTATAGACTAGACTATAGACTAGACTATAGACTAGACTATAGACTAGACTATAGACTAGACTATAGACTAGACTATAGACTAGACTATAGACTAGACTATAGACTAGTAGACTATAGACTAGACTATAGACTAGACTATAGACTAGACTATAGACTAGACTATAGACTAGACTATAGACTAGACTATAGACTAGACTATAGACTAGACTATAGACTAGACTATAGACTAGACCATAGACTAGACTAGACTATAGACTAGACTATAGACTAGACTATAGACTAGACTAGACTATAGACTAGACTAGACTATAGACTAGACTAGACTATAGACTAGACTATAGACTAGACTAGACTATAGACTAGACTATAGACTAGACTATAGACTAGACTATAGACTAGACTATAGACTAGACTATAGACTAGACTATAGACTAGACTATAGACTAGACTATAGACTAGACTATAGACTAGACTATAGACTAGACTATAGACTAGACTATAGACTAGACTATAGACTAGACTATAGACTAGACTATAGACTAGACTATAGACTAGACTATAGACTAGACTATAGACTAGACTATAGACTAGACTATAGACTAGACTATAGACTAGACTATAGACTAGACTATAGACTAGACTATAGACTAGACTATAGACTAGACTATAGACTAGACTATAGACTAGACTATAGACTAGACTATAGACTAGACTATAGACTAGACTATAGACTAGACTATAGACTAGACTATAGACTAGACTATAGACTACTATAGACTAGACTATAGACTAGACTATAGACTAGACTATAGACTAGACTATAGACTAGACTATAGACTAGACTATAGACTAGACTATAGACTAGACTATAGACTAGACTATAGACTAGACTATAGACTAGACTATAGACTAGACTATAGACTAGACTATAGACTAGACTATAGACTAGACTATAGACTAGACTATAGACTAGACTATAGACTAGACTATAGACTAGACTATAGACTAGACTATAGACTAGACTATAGACTAGACTATAGACTAGACTATAGACTATAGACTAGACTATAGACTAGACTATAGACTAGACTATAGACTAGACTATAGACTAGACTATAGACTAGACTATAGACTAGACTATAGACTAGACTATAGACTAGACTATAGACTAGACTATAGACTAGACTATACTAGACTATAGACTAGACTATAGACTAGACTATAGACTATAGACTAGACTATAGACTAGACTATAGACTAGACTATACTATACTATAGACTAGACTATACTAGACTTATAGACTATAGACTAGACTATAGACTAGACTATAGACTAGACTATAGACTAGACTATAGACTAGACTATAGACTAGACTATAGACTAGACTATAGACTAGACTATAGACTAGACTATAGACTAGACTATAGACTAGACTATAGACTAGACTGTAGACTAGACTATAGACTAGACTATAGACTAGACTATAGACTAGACTATAGACTAGACTATAGACTAGACTATAGACTAGACTATAGACTAGACTATAGACTAGACTATAGACTAGACTATAGACTAGACTATAGACTAGACTATAGACTAGACTATAGACTAGACTATAGACTAGACTATAGACTAGACTATAGACTAGACTATAGACTAGACTATAGACTAGACTATAGACTAGACTATAGACTAGACTATAGACTAGACTATAGACTAGACTATAGACTAGACTATAGACTAGACTATAGACTAGACTATAGACTAGACTATAGACTAGACTATAGACTAGACTATAGACTAGACTATAGACTAGACTATAGACTAGACTATAGACTAGACTATAGACTAGACTATAGACTAGACTATAGACTAGACTATAGACTAGACTATAGACTAGACTATAGACTAGACTATAGACTAGACTAGACTAGACTATAGACTAGACTATAGACTAGACCATAGACTAGACTATAGACTAGACTATAGACTAGACTATAGACTAGACTATAGACTAGACTATAGACTAGACTATAGACTAGACTATAGACTAGACTATAGACTAGACCATAGACTAGACTATAGACTAGACTATAGACTAGACTATAGACTAGACTATAGACTAGACTATAGACTAGACTATAGACTAACTATAGACTAGACTATAGACTAGACCATAGACTAGACTAGACTATAGACTAGACTATAGACTAGACTATAGACTAGACTATAGACTAGACTATAGACTAGACTATAGACTAGACTATAGACTAGACTAGACTAGACTAGACTATAGACTAGACTAGACTATAGACTAGACTAGACTAGACTATAGACTAGACTAGACTATAGACTAGACTAGACTATAGACTAGACTAGACTATAGACTAGACTAGACTATAGACTAGACTATAGACTAGACTATAGACTAGACTATAGACTAGACTATAGACTAGGCTATAGACTAGACTATAGACTAGACTATAGACTAGACTATAGACTAGACTATAGACTAGACTATAGACTAGACTATAGACTAGACTATAGACTAGACTATAGACTAGACTATAGACTAGACTATAGACTAGACTATAGACTAGACTATAGACTAGACTATAGACTAGACTATAGACTAGACTATAGACTAGACTATAGACTAGACTATAGACTAGACTAGACTATAGACTAGACTATAGACTAGCTAGACTATAGACTAGACTATAGACTAGACTATAGACTAGACTATAGACTAGACTATAGACTAGACTATAGACTAGACTGTAGACTAGACTATAGACTAGACTATAGACTGACTATAGACTAGACTATAGACTAGACTATAGACTAGACTATACACTAGACTATACACTAGACTATAGACTAGACTATAGACTAGACTATAGACTAGACTAGACTATAGACTAGACTAGACTATAGACTAGACTATAGACTAGACTATAGACTAGACTATAGACTAGACTATAGACTAGACTATAGACTAGACTATAGACTAGACTATAGACTAGACTATAGACTAGACTATAGACTAGACTATAGACTAGACTATAGACTAGACTATAGACTAGACTATAGACTAGACTATAGACTAGATAGACTAGACTATAGTCTAGATTATCACTAAACTATAGACTAGACTATAGGCTAGACTATAGGCTAGACTATAGACTAGACTATAGGCTAGACTATAGGCTAGACTATAGACTAGACTATAGACTAGACTATAGGCTAGACTATAGACTAGACTATAGACTAGACTATAGACTAGACTATAGACTAGACTATAGACTAGACTATAGTCTAGACTATAGACTAGACTATAGACTAGACTATAGACTAGACTATAGACTAGACTATAGACTAGACTATAGACTAGACTATAGTCTAGACTATAGACTAGACTATAGACTAGACTATAGACTAGACTATAGACTAGACTATAGACTAGACTATAGACTAGACTATAGACTAGACTATAGACTAGACTATAGACTAGACTATAGACTAGACTATAGACTAGACTATAGACTAGACTATAGACTAGACTATAGACTAAACTATAGACTAGACTATAGACTAGACTATAGACTAGACTATAGACTAGACTATAGACTAGACTATAGACTAGACTATAGACTAGACTATAGACTAGACTATAGACTAGACTATAGACTAGACTATAGACTAGACTATAGACTAGACTATAGACTAGACTATAGTCTAGATTATAGACTAGACTATAGACTAGACTATAGACTAGACTATAGACTAGACTATAGACTAGACTAGACTAGACTATAGACTAGACTAGAGACTAGACTATAGACTGGACTATAGACTAAAATATAGACTAAACTATAGACTAGACTATAGACTAGACTATAGACTAGACTATAGACTAAACTATAGACTAAACTGTAGACTAAACTATAGACTAAACTATAGACTAAGCTATAGACTAAACTATATTAACTAGATTATAGACTAGACTATAGACTAGACTATATACTAAACTATAGACTAGATTATGGACTAGTCTACAGACTAAACTATAGACTAGATATGATACAAAGCTTTTATATTCTGCGCACCTCATAAGGTTTATTATTAAATAAAAACTTTAGATTTGTTTGGATGTATTTTAAAGAGGTTTTCTCTATTTTTATCATTTGCAAAATGCATGAATACAAAATCAAATTTTAATTTAGTTTTTAAGCCGAAAACAAAATACAATTTCTTTTTTTTAACAATGCATGAGCTGAGTTTCTATATATTTTTTGTTCTTTCTTTTTTCTCTTTTTTTTCAATTTTTTTTATTTTACAAAAATTCGTGTTGTTTTTTTGGTTGGATTTGAAATTTTTTATTTGTAAATTTTGTTACTTTCTTTACTTTAATTATTATAATTTTTTGTTATTATTGGAATGTTGAAACAAAATAATAATAATTCTATTTAACCAACATAACAATATGAACAAAATATTTCTAAAAAAAAAACAAAAAACTCTAAACATAACATGCACCAATATGCAATATCATGTCAAATTTATCAAAAACAAAAAAATGATCAAAAATGAAAAATATACAAAACAAAAACAAAAACCAAACACAACAATACATACAAAACATAGCAACCATCACCGAGTTCTTCTTCTACAACAAGAATCTAGACTTGATAATGTTTCTCCAACACCAGAATTGTCCGCTGAACTATTGAGAGGTGGTGGCCCATCATTTAGTGGCATGAATAAATGGAAACAAGTAGTACGACTTCGGTAATTTAGTAAATGATGCCACTTCAATAGGGAAAGCGCCAGTTCAACGATAACCACCACAACAGCTACAGTAGCCACCAAGGAAAACGGAAAAGGAAATGGAAAAGGAAACCGCACAATTAAATAGTCCCAATGCCAATACTGCTACAAAAGAAGTCGAAGAAACTTCTGCCAAGATCGAAAAGCTCACTACCGAGACAACAACTACTACAGCAACACAACGAGTTCAGCAACCAAAGAGGATGTGGATATGAACATGCAGAAGCAGCAGCTATAAAAGTAACAACAACCGAGGTAACGGAAGTGAAAAAAACCGAACAAATGAATGGTAATGATAAGGCAAATGGTAATGCCAATACAGTTATTGATGCCAAAACCACCACCACAACAACAACGACGACAACAACTAATGGCAATACCACATCGGTAACAGCAACATCAGCATCATCAGAAGTGGACGAAGAATCGAATAAAACAAAATTAGGTAAAGATCAATTAAACGATGATAAAATTCAAAATATCACTACTAGTACTAGAAAAAAATTAGTTGAACCAGTAAAAATCCATTTGGTGATGTTGACGACGACGATGATAATGAAGAAATCTACGAATTACCCAAGGGTGAGTAGATTGTCTTTTATTTACCCACTCAGCCAAAAGTTCCAAACAGGTTTATGTGACCTGTTTTGGGAAAATTTTGGAAACTTAGCTGAGAAGTCGCTAAAACGATCTGCTATTTTTTCTCGGGGATCTGTTGTCTGTGTATATATACCAAAAATAAAATCTACTTAATTAGTTTGTTAGCTGGAAATGGGTCTAAAAAAGTATTGTTAAATTTTCTTTCTAACTGGAAAAAAAATGTTCGTAAAAAATGAAACGATATTTTCACAAACTTGATGACGAGACTATAGACTGGACTACTGGCATCTCTCTTACTAACTGTAAGCTACTGGTTCAGAATGAACTATATGAAATGGCTCAAATCAGATGGTTCAGTGAAACCACCTGTCTCAATTCGAGGTCAATTTGGCATCCTATATGATGCTCCCAGATCAAGCCTTACTATTAAGCTTTCGCAGGGAACAGCTGAGAAATGCTGGTATCAGTCATAACGGAACACTGTACTATTGCAATCGTGCCAGAAGAATGGGTCTCGAATATACTACTATAGACTAGACTATAGACTAGACTATAGACTAACTATAGACTAGACTATAGACTAGACTTAGACTATAGACTAGACTATAGGCTAGACTATAGGCTAGACTATAGACTAGACTAGACTATAGACTAGACTATAGACTAGACTATAGACTAGACTATAGACTAGACTATAGACTAGACTATAGACTAGACTATAGACTAGACTATAGACTAGACTATAGACTAGACTATAGACTAGACTAGACTATAGACTAGACTATAGACTAGACTATAGACTAGACTATAGACTAGACTAGACTAGACTATAGACTAGACTATAGACTAGACTATAGACTAGACTATAGACTAGACTATAGACTAGACTATAGACTAGACTATAGACTAGACTATAGACTAGACTATGATAGACTATAGACTAGACTATAGACTAGACTATAGACTAGACTATAGACTAGACTATAGACTAGACTATAGACTAGACTATAGACTAGACTATAGACTAGACTATAGACTAGACTATAGACTAGACTATAGACTAGACTATAGACTAGACTATAGACTAGACTATAGACTAGACTATAGACTAGACTATAGACTAGACTATAGACTAGACTATAGACTAGACTATAGACTAGACTATAGACTAGACTATAGACTAGACTATAGACTAGACTATAGACTAGACTATAGACTAGACTATAGACTAGACTATAGACTAGACTATAGACTAGACTATAGACTAGACTATAGACTAGACTATAGACTAGACTATAGACTAGACTATAGACTAGACTATAGACTAGACTATAGACTAGACTATAGACTAGACTATAGACTAGACTATAGACTAGACTATAGACTAGACTATAGACTAGACTATAGACTAGACTATAGACTAGACTATAGACTAGACTATAGACTAGACTATAGACTAGACTATAGACTAGACTATAGACTAGACTATAGACTAGACTATAGACTAGACTATAGACTAGACTATAGACTAGACTATAGACTAGACTATAGACTAGACTATAGACTAGACTATAGACTAGACTATAGACTAGACTATAGACTAGACTATAGACTAGACTATAGACTAGACTAGACTATAGACTAGACTATAGACTAGACTATAGACTAGACTATAGACTAGACTAAACTAGACTATAGACTAGACTATAGACTAGACTATAGACTAGACTAGACTAGACTATACACTAGACTATAGACTAGACTTTAGACTAGACTATAGACTAGACTATAGAATAGACTATAGACTAGACTATATAATAGACTATAGACTAGACTATAGACTAGAATATAGACTAGACTATAGACTAGACTATAGACTAGACTATAGACTAGACTTTCGACTAGACTTTCGACTAGACTGTCGACTACATAGACTATTATATACTACATCATAGAATAGACTATAGACTAGACTATAGACTAGACTATAAACTAGACTATAGACTAGACTATAGACTAGACTATAGACTAGACTATAGACTAGACTATAAACTAGACTATAGACTAGACTATAGACTAGACTATAGACTAGACTATAGACTAGACTATAGACTAGACTATAGACTAGACTATAGACTAGACTATAGACTAGACTATAGACTAGACTATAGACTAGACTATAGACTAGACTATAGACTAGACTATAGACTAGACTATAGACTAGACTATAGACTAGACTATAGACTAGACTATAGACTAGACTATAGACTAGACTATAGACTAGACTATAGACTAGACTATAGACTAGACTATAGATAGACTATAGACTAGACTATAGACTAGACTATAGACTAGACTATAGACTAGACTATAGACTAGACTATAGACTAGACTATAGACTAGACTATAGACTAGACTATAGACTAGACTATAGACTAGACTATAGACTAGACTATAGACTAGACTATAGACTAGACTATAGACTAGACTATAGACTAGACTATAGACTAGACTATAGACTAGACTAGACTATAGACTAGACTATAGACTAGACTATAGACTAGACTATAGACTAGACTATAGACTAGACTATAGACTAGACTATAGACTAGACTATAGACTAGACTATAGACTAGACTATAGACTAGACTATAGACTAGACTATAGACTAGACTATAGACTAGACTATAGACTAGACTATAGACTAGACTATAGACTAGACTATAGACTAGACTATAGACTAGACTATAGACTAGACTATAGACTAGACTATAGACTAGACTATAGACTAGACTATAGACTAGACTATAGACTAGACTATAGACTAGACTATAGACTAGACTATAGACTAGACTATAGACTAGACTATAGACTAGACTATAGACTAGACTATAGACTAGACTATAGACTAGACTATAGACTAGACTATAGACTAGACTATAGACTAGATAGACTAGACTATAGACTAGACTATAGACTAGACTATAGACTAGACTATAGACTAGACTATAGACTAGACTATAGACTAGACTATAGACTAGACTATAGACTAGACTATAGACTAGACTATAGACTAGACTATAGACTAGACTATAGACTAGACTATAGACTAGACTATAGACTAGACTATAGACTAGACTATAGACTAGACTATAGACTAGACTATAGACTAGACTATAGACTAGACTATAGACTAGACTATAGACTAGACTATAGACTAGACTATAGACTAGACTATAGACTAGACTATAGACTAGACTATAGACTAGACTATAGACTAGACTATAGACTAGACTATAGACTAGACTATAGACTAGACTATAGACTAGACTATAGACTAGACTATAGACTAGACTATAGACTAGACTATAGACTAGACTATAGACTAGACTATAGACTAGACTATAGACTAGACTATAGACTAGACTATAGACTAGACTATAGACTAGACTATAGACTAGACCATAGACTAGACTATAGACTAGACTATATACTAGACTATATACTAGACTGAAGACTAGACTTTATACTAGACTTTACACTAGACTTTAGACTAGACTATAGACTAGACTTTAGACTTGACTGTAGACTAGATTTTAAAGTTTGTGAAAATGTACGTTTTTGAAAGTGAATGTTTTGCAACTTCCTCTGCTTTTGTAAAAAAAAAATTTAAATCAAATTAAAATGGTTGCAGACTTTGTACAGTAAGTGTATCTTTTTTTGAATTGGTTGTGGTATATCATCCTTCTTTTTTTTACCTTTAAATATCTTTAAATACACTACTCACTCAATTTTCTTCATTATTATCTCACAAATTACACTCAACAAAAAAAGTTTGTGAAAAATTATAAAAAATTAATATGTTTTGTAAAAAAAAAAAGTTAATACTTGGAAAAGTGTTAAATATTAAAAAAATCTTGGAAATTTATATAATTGTAAATTAATTAATGAAAATGTAAACATTAATAAGGTAATTATTTAAAACACAATTTTTAAAATCATAAATTCACATGATAAAAAAATCCTTTAAATGACAAGGATTAATTCTATAAAATCATTTATCATATGTCAAGTGTTATAGAGATACATATATGTATAATTGAAGCAATTTTGTAGTATATTTCAATCCAGGGAGATTATTTCTTAAAACTTAACTTATTTTAGAATCATTATTTGTTAAAGAAATTCTACTATTGGAAATAATTTATTCTAGGGACTCAGCTCTTGGTGATTTAGCTGTTCTTGGCTAACTATGATTTAAGATTTCTTAAACGAAGACTTACAAGTCGTGGGGAATTTACAGAAGAATTATTAGATTTAGAAGATTATTATCTAGAATCAGTTTCTAGATCCTAAAAACAACTA